CCCGTGGTCTGCATCGGGCACCAGGCCGCGTAGGCGCCACCTCCCGCCCCAGATTCGCGGCTGGCGTCGGCGTAACGCTGCTCCCACTCCCGCTCGCACTCCCCCCACTGCTCTCCCCACCCTCCTCTGCATCCGCATCGTCGTCGTCCTCACAATCCTCGTCCACCGCCTCTTCGCACCTCCCGTACTCCTTATGCCCTTCTTTTTCCCACCCGCCGCCGCACCCCCGTCCCGCACCATCCCATCCCCCTCGCCGGCGCTCTGCCCACCATACCCTTCAAGCTCAGCACCCCCGCACGCCCTTCGCCTTCGGCTTCACCACACTCGTGAGCCCAGCTCGCCCAAGCCGAGCCCGATGCCCGCGGCGACCACCTCGTGCCCCTCGCCGCGGTAGCGGGGGACGCCATCGACGCCGACCTCGGTTTTGGGTGGGGTAGCTGCGGGGTAGGGTTAGTTTGGGATAATAGAGATAAATAGGAAAGAGTAGGGAGGCGAAGGCGGAGAGGGAGGTGAAGAAGGGAGCGAAGATGAAGGTGGAGGAGATGCGGAGAGTGAGATGAAGAATAGAGGGAGGGACGTGTGGCGGGAGGGAACGACGCGAGCGGGACGAGAGTGGGAGTGGTGGGCAGGGATAGTATGCTCAAACACCAGGGAGCGGAGAAGACAATGATGTGGTGTGAAAACGAGAGGGATGGCAGAAATAGAGCGCGTGATGCGGGGAGTCATAGGAGGGAGCGGGCGCGCGCGACGGAAGGGAGGGGGGGGGAGGGTGTACACAGATGGGAAGAAGGAGACGGAAGGAAGGGCGGGCGGTACAAGGAGGAAAGGCGCGTGCGCGCCCAAGCTCCAAACAACATGCGATGCGATGTGAAGCGGACGGGGCCAAGGTGGGTGGAATGGGGGCGGGGATACGTGGACGTGGAACCGTGGAGATGGGGGGGGAGGATATGTGGATGCGGAGGAGATGGGAGCCGAGCGGGAGATGGCGAATGCGAAGGCGAGGGAGGAAAAAAGAAACTGGGGCGAGAACCGAATGAATAAATGAATTTAAGAGAGATAGAGTGGGCGCGAGGTGGCAAGCGGAAGACGAACGGGTGGAAGTGTGAGGGAGGGGCGAGAGAAAGACGAGGGAGGCGGAAGTATGAGATGGTGGAGCGAGGGAGGAACAAGGAGGAGGGGCGGTGCGTAATGGACGGACAGGGAACGGCGCAGAAGGAAGCGTGGTGGCGGAAGAGGGAGGGAGATGGCGAGCGAGCGGGTAAAGGAAGAGTGGTAGATGAAAAGTGGCGCGCGTCGAATACACGGATTAATGAAATAAAATTATTTGAAAGATTAGAAGTGAGAGAAATGGAGTGGCGCCGGGTGGTAGAGGCAAGGAGAAGGACGGGCGGTGGGGTGAAGGTCCGGGAGCACGAAGGCGGTGGACGCGAAGAAAAGTGAGAAACGAAATCGAAATGAAGGGCGGGCGCTAGTAAGGCGCGAGCATGAAAAGCCCCAGCAGAAAAAAAAAGCAAGAGCACAAAAGGAAGGAAAGAACGAGAACTAAAAAAAAAGGCCACACGCTCACCTCACCGAAATCCCCCCTCTCAAGCAATGTGTGTGCGATGTCGAGGCTGGCGAGCTCGGGGAGCGACGACGGCGCGCGCAGGCGGCCGGACTCGACATCGGTGATCTTGTGGTACGAGATGATGAGGTACTGCGTGTGGTTGGCGGTGATGAGGGAGCCTGCGGGGGTGTTAACGTTGTGCGAAAAAAAAAGTACATAGTAAAAAGAAGAAAAAAGGGGGGAGGCAAGAAGGAGGGTAGGGGAGAGCGAAAACAGGTGGTAGATGTAAGCCTGACGGTGGCAGGACATCCCTCGCGCGGGGAAGAACCTGCAGATGGACCGCGAAGAGGCCGAGAGCAAGGCGCCGAATAAATACGGCGACAAGATGGCCCACCAATCGTCAGGGACGCAGACTCGAGACGCCGGATAGATGCAACGCAGATGGAAAGAGTACATCCTCAATCCGCTCACCTTCTTCAGCAGCCCACCAGCGTCCTCTCGCGGTGCCGATCCTCCCCCAGTGCGCGCCTTCCGCCCCCTCCACCACGCGGTCCCGCGTCCGCGCCCTTCCCCTTCCCCTTCCCCTTCCTCCGCTTATCCGTCTCTCAATACAGCCAAAAAAAATTGCCCAGTATCTTCGATAAGAACCCGCGTGGATGGAGCCGCCGTGTAGGGGCTGGATGGCGACCACGGGCTCATACTCGAGGCCGCGCGCCGCGGGCATCCCGCGCGTCCCAAGGCGCCTCGTGGATGCTGAGCGCCCCTGCGCCCGTGTTTGAAGCGGGATCAAGAGGTGGACGGACGGCGCCGACTGTCGCTACTGTTATTGTTACTAGTAGACATGGTGGTCAGGGTACAGAATAGAATAAAGTTTGACTCCTTGTGCGGACTCACAGTCAAGATTGCATCTTTGCTATGTCTGGGTTATCCCCTAGCATCAGTATTCCGGTCGGCTCTCCGTGCTGCCAGCCATTTCCGTCAGCGGCGTCGTATCTGGAGGAGCGAGTGGAGGAGAAGCAAAGGTTGATGGCGGGATTACGTCAGCTCCGCCGGCTTCCGCTCATCCCCGTCGGCCAATTGTCGGCTCAACGTCTCGCCGCTCGGACTCGGATGTTTCTCTGCTCTGATTATTCATAAGGCCCTCCGGGCATCCCTGGTACCTGGGCAATAACCTGTGCCAAGAACCAACCAAGAACTATACATATATTTGAACATTCATGATAGAATTCACAAAAACAATGTGAATAATGTGAGACGGTCAGCCGGTGTCAGAATTGACCGTCAATCACACAAAAAGAAGGCACGGCAAAGTCCTATCAATGAAAATGGGTGCATGCTTGGTTATGAACTTGCATGTTTCTGAAAATTCAACTGAAGCACGTCAAGTGGGTAAAATGTTGCTGATTTGGCCGGGAGACGGTGACATTGGCGAGCGGTCGTCAACGCGAGAATCAACGTATCAAGCCGAGCCAGAGGTGCCCGCAAGCGGGCCATGGCCAGACAAATCCCACAAAGAAATGCTCCGAATGGAAAGTGAAACTCATCAAATCATGATCAGGAGCTCGAAGCTGAACTTCCATTTTTTCCCCCTTCTTTTGGGGACTGGAAAATATAAGTATAAGTCCTGGTTAGTATGGCTTCATAGGAAAGCCGGGAAGTAGAAATCGAGTTCGCAGAAAGTGCATGGGTTGAGTGTAGTATCCCGGGTGCGGAATTAGTGTTTGAGACCGATTTCATCTTTCAAAGTCATCGTTGGTTTTGAAAGATTTTATGGGATCAGGAAAGGAAACCGAGAGATTTAAGACACCAAGGGGACATTGAGGATTATTAAACCGGAAAGGCAGCCAAAATTTTGAAAGGATTTGAGCGCACACTATCAAGCACGCAAATTTGAAACCGGCTTCGCTGACGGCTAACTAGGCAACGCAACTTGAATCCAATTTTGGGCATGAGACAGTTTCTTGGAAAGGTTGTTGGGATCGTTCAGTGGAGATGGTTCACGGGTTGTACAGCAATGATAATGATAATAAAAATAGGAGAAGTCAAAGAAAAGAAAGAGAAGGCCCAGAAGGCCTGTAGAGGATATCTCAGTAGTAGAGCACAGAGTCGGATAAATGGGAAAGCTCACAGCTTATTTTAAAAGAATTCTAGGGCAGCGCCACGAGCCGCCAACACGTGAAGACGCTGAACCCACAAATGGCGGGGTTCCTTGTGGGTATATTAAAAGAAGTCAAACCAGAGTAAGGAATTCTTCCTTTCCACCGATATGGGAAGTGGACCCAATAGCGAGGGCTCAGGGATGCGTGGAATCAGCAGAAAGGCCGTATACTGTACTATTTCGCTCAATTCTCCTGTCACACGTCACAGGGGCCGAAATTTTCGAACTTTTTTGAGCGGTCACAGGTCACCGAGGCGATTTTCGAATGTGCCCAAAATGTCACAAAATCGCTCCGAAAGCACCCCAAAACGCAATTGTTTGCGCGCGCAAAACTCGGACAACACAGTGATCCACACACTTTTGCTTCCGCTTTCCCTTGAGCTCTCGACGCCGTTTCAACCACAATCTCCGCATCTGCATCCTCCGCCTCTCCCGTTGACCTGATACCGACAGAAGGACCTTCCTCGGAAGCTTTGACCTTGCGGTTTGCCCGCGTCTTCTTCGTAATGACATGCACGACAGCTTTTCCGGCCCATCCGGGATCTTGAGGCTGTCGGGAAGTCCGCCCATAGCAAAGAGCGGGATTTTTACTGGCAGGCGCAAAAGCTTATCGAATTTGATTGATCTACGGCACAGCTTTTCTGATTTGACTTTTGCGTGCTCATTTTCAGTTTCTTTACTGTATTGTAAGCCACAAAAAAGCCTTGTCACTGTATAGGATGTGTCCCGCTAAAATTGGCGAGATTTTCGAAAAAAAAAATCATGTCACGGCCCGCCCGGCCGATTTTCAAAATCTCAAGTTCGAATGGGCGGGTCACAGGTCACGGCCGGGGAGAATTGAGCGAAATAGTACAGTAATTCGTGCCGAAGTGCGTCAAATTCATTAGTTCACGAATATGATCGAAGTCACGGTCCCCTTGTAGCCTGTCCGTGGTGGAAGCACCCCAAGTCCGCCCATCGACGGTGGCCAGCGGGTACGGGCTTCGGTATGGACCTTAGCCATCACGGAAGTTGCCGCATTCTTCAGGAATGGACCGGAATGCAAGAGCCGTATTGATACGGTTGCTATGGTATGATCGATGTGCGTTTTTCGAAACTCGAATTACGGATTTCAGACCTGGTAGCCTACATCGGTACCAGGAACTTGCCTACACTATTCGCATGTGCGATAACTGAACTTTGATTGCACTTGCAACTCGGGCCCTACTACATACCACCGCCTGGACTCCAGTTCCCAAGCGGCCAAACCTCAAATAATCACGCTCGTCAACACAAGGTCCCGATTTATATGCACAAGACCTAATAGCGAAGCCGGTATCGTGTCCACTGCCCTTTCATTATTTGGATTATCAAGTGTGTGGAAGTCCCTCGTTCGAATCGAGGTTAGGTCATACTCCAATAATGATTGGCAAGTTTTTATTCACCCGTACTAAAATGTTGCAGCAAACCAGGGCTCAGAATTACATGAACAAGATCTAATGGCGAATCAGTATCGTGTCCACTTTAGTTGGCGCATATGACTCCTGATCATGCGGAAGTCCCTTGTTTTTTGCTCCGCACAAAAAATTATTTCACACCAAGTTGGGAAGATACATATTACCCTTCAAAATCATAAGTACTCGTTCATGCCGGGCATAGCCACGGCCCTTAACCCCAAGTCAGTCATGGAGCAGACAATGTCGATGCGTGCGCACTAAATTGATCCTGTGCCAAAACAGGATGCTCGTTACATTGAGATGTTCTTGTATTCTAATAAAAATCTGAGGATGCCAAACGAGGGTGGGGCTCTTGCTGAAATGCAATGATTTTACTGAAATTTGAAAGAGCTATTTGCAACCCAGAAAAAGACAACCAAACCGCGTTTGATGCCAAGGAAGGACCCCGAAGACCAGTTTGGGGTGACAGGACGGTGTTCGTCCACCCACCTCTTGCTTTGAATTCCTTCTCCCCATTATGTCGGAAAAATCCCACTTTTCTTGAAACGCCCCGGTACGCGTTCCAGGGCGTTGCAAGGCCATATGGTTTTTAAAGCCTTGCAACGCACAGTTCGGAATCTTTTAACCTCTTCCAAAGCACGGAGCCAGGACTCCCAAGCGCTCCCAAGGTCCGCGAGTTTCAGCGGATCTTCCAGAGACACTTGAGGTTTCGCAAGCCGGCATGGGGAGGCTCGGGACGACAGCCATTCAGTACTATCCATTGCTTTGCATATTGTTATATTCAGACGAAAATATTTGTCATAATTTAAATGTAATGATTATGATACTTCTACGACAAAAGTACGAAGATACGGGCGTGAAGGTAGAGTAGATGCGCATGATACATATATCTGTTGTGGCTTAAGTCAGTAGATGGCGAGTACTGTATGAACAATTAAACGTACCGTAGAGTTAGATACGTATCTGGCTATGTCATCGTCAGAGTGCTGAAAAAGCAGATGAGAGGATCAACCACTGGCCAATGATAGAGTCCATGACATACCTGGTGACTGACAGAGGAGATGGTGGTGGTACAAAAGCAAGAGAGGTGGAGCTATTGTGTCACAGCTGCGCGTCTCATATTATTTCTATGTAATACATAGAAATAAAAACCCTACCTACTGTTGGCATATGCTGTCCTTAGTGCCAGTTTGCGGCAAACCATGATTATTATTATTATTTTCATTTGATTACCGGATTCGAGACTTCCTCTTCTTCACGTTTCTGGGCACGCACCCATTGAGACTTTCAAATTCAACTCGAATTCATTACATACGTCGCTTCCTCTCCCGACAAGTATAACTAGCAAACATTCATCCAACGCAGATCACGACTTCGCGGTAAGATTAAATTTCCGGCATTCCCTCCACCTGCACCGCACCTTTGATCGGCTCGAGCACGCTCCAGCGGTCTTTCACGAACGCTGCCCATTCCATCAGCAGTGGCGCGACAACAAGAATTGAGCAGGACGACACGCACCTTCCTTCGTAATCGGCACCTCCGCAAACTCCCTGAAGTTCCCCGTCTGGATGGACTGTGAATCCCCGAGCGCAATTGTGAGCTGGCTGATGGCGGATCCGCAGTTGGAGCAGAAGATGCGGGTGACTTTCGTCTTTTCAATCGTTCCGCCGAGAAATATAAAGAACACTGGCATCATGCGTACCCGTCTTTCCCGACGCCGCCTCGCTAGCGTAGTCCCCCACCGGCCCGGTGATCGTGACATCTTTCTTCAAGACGCGGATGCTCGTCCCGAAGGCGCTTCCACTCGTCTCTTTACAATCGCTGCAGTGGCAGACGACCTCCCAGTTGCGAAAAAAATGCAGTCTCAGTTCTTCTGCGAGTACGCAGCAATTACATACGTACGCACTTGCTCACTGTGAGTCGACGCGAGCTTGATGGTGGTCCGCCCGCAGAGGCAAGATCCTTGATGCGGCATTTTGCTTTCTTCTGTAGTTCTGCACTAAGTCAATTGGTGGAGTGATCGAGTCGAGGGCATTGCGAGGGCACTGTCATTTATATACGAAGAACGAATATTGCGTAATGCACCACGAGACTCACTTTGGTGGGGCCGTTGGAGCATATATTTTGGATGGAATAACATTGGCGAGAAAAACAGTCCCAACACAGTCTGTAAGTACAGTAGAAATAATGGCCTCTAATGTATGCACCAAATAAAAGTCTAATATATATATGAAGAAAAGTAACTGAATCTAAATATAAACTCTACCCCCCCCGCCCCGATCCCGATCCATAGCCAGAATATCGCATGTCCAGCGTGGGCAGCGCCATACCCATGTTCGTCGGGAGCTAGCTGCTGATGTTGCATCCCGAGGTACGCGTCTAGTCGTCCGACGAGCGGCGCGGACACGGTCTGCAGGTCCCAACCGTACCCAATCGCCTTGAGCGCATTCGATAATCTGAGTATGATAACAATGATGTGGAATGAGTGAGAGTTCCATTAAATAGGATGAGAGAAGCGACGCACATCTCGAATATCCACGGGCGGGGCGCCGCCGCCCGCGTCCGCCTCATCCACGCAGAACTGCGCCCACGCGCACACCGCGTTCCAGTCGAGGTGCATCAGGAATGGCATCGGCAGCAGGCACTGCATGCCGCGCGCGACGGCCGCGACCGCGAAGCGCGCGAGTTCATGGATTTGCCGGCGCAAGCTCTGCATCTGCGTGTGGGAGTGCGAACTGGTGTGCTGTGAAGAGCGGTACTGCATCTCCTGGTGCAGCGCCAGCACGAGCGTCGTCCACCCGCTCGTCATCAGATGCATGCACGCCCGCACATTCACTATGCCATCCGATGGGGAGAGGTACGCGAAGATGGGCGTGGCGGGGTGCTGATCGGCGGGCTGGTTGGATCGGAGGCGCTCGGAGATGGGGGTCCAGACTGCGTGCAGGAGGCGGAGCGCGGCGAGGATCGAGGCGAGCTCGTCGACTGCGAGAGAATGGCGGCGCGCATAGGCTGGTGGTCGGTATCAGCGATGATAATAATATGATTTATGAAGGGAGGGGAGAAATGGCACGCACCGCCTGTAACCTTCTCTGATAGTTCGCGGGCAAGTCGCGTGACATGGAACAGGACTGCGGCATAATTCAATATTGATTTATTCATCGAGTCACAACACCACAGTATGGCAGAGTGATGTATCAACCCTGCTCGCTCTCCACTATGCGCCGATGTATCAAATGTTGTAGTTACACCTTGAATCTGATATATCATTCAGCCCTCACCGCGAATATGGGCGACAGCCTGCAGCAGCAGTGGGCGTTATTGTGCTCGATGAGCTCGATGTATGGCGATGTTTGGCCGGCTATCCGCATTGGGAACACGACGTTAAGAGGGCTTTGCACGTCGCCCATCACGACGAGCTCAAAGAAATTGAAATATGGCCCCCAAAAAATCGAATTAATTGTAGAAAAATCCTCGTTTGACCCTACTGATTAACCAAGTCCACCCTCAACTTGCCTTTGGAGCTCGCCGGCACTGGCCAAGCTTCTTCGCCTTCACTCCCCACTTCGTCGTTCGCATCGAGTACCTCCCCCGCACTCGCCGATTCCGCGAGTTCGTCCCCAGCACGCGCCGCTGCCACCATTGCCGTCAGTGGCTCCCACTTCGCCGCGAAGCTCGCCGCCAGTGCCTCCTTCAGGGCCGCCTGTCGCAAGGCATAGGCGCGGTCGCCCTCGAGTTGTTTGGCGTCGATGTTCTCGCGCAGTCCGACGCGCGACCTCCACCAGTCCGCCTTCCAGTTGAGGTACTGGATGATGCGGCGCATCTCCTCCTCCAACAACTGCACCTCCTCCGACCAGCGCAAAGATCTCGCCCGCGTCTTCGCCCATTCAATTCGCAGCGCTGGCAAATTGGTCAGCGACTATTCCAGCCTCCAATCAAGAACGTACCCTCGTCCATCGCTGGCTGCCCGCCTTCCCCCTCCCCCTCCTCCTCCTCCCCCTCCTCCATCGCCGTCGGCGCCTTCCGCTGCGTCAGCCAGATCCACGACAACACCTTGTACTCCCCGACCGTCCGCCTCTTCGCGCTGGGCTTCCCCTTCCCCTTCCCCTTCCCAGCCTTTGTCGCCGCCTGCCTGGCTTCGTCACCAAAGTGTGCCCGCGGCATCCCCCTAACATCCTTCTCCGCTAGCGGCTTGAGGGCGACCTCCCACTCGTTGTTCTCCAGCACCCGCCCCAGCACCACCAGCGACTCACGTGCGGCGCGATAGCGCTCCGCGGCTCGTCGGACCTGCTCGTTGAGAGACTCAATCTTCCCCTGCGCGCGCGTGTACGCCTTGACCCCCTTCTCCTCCGTGTCTTGCTGCTTGTAAAGGTGGGTGCGGACCAGGAGCTGACGCCGCACGTCATGGAGCGCCTCGTGCGCTTGCCCGACGCGCATGCGGAACTCAGCCTCCAGCACAGCCTTCTTGCACCCCATCTCTTCCATTGACGCACCCGCTCGCCCCATCAGCGCCGACGGTAGCCAAAGGGCGATCTTGTGGCAGAGGATCCCGGGGAGTGCTTGCGTCTCCGCCACGCGCATTCTAGCCACATCTTCAAGCTCACGGATGCGCGCCACGGCGGGGAAGAACTGGATCTGTATGACCATCCATGCGAGGATCTTCCGACGAAGTTTGCTCGTGCGCTCCACCATGATGCGACGCTGATCGTCCGTCGGATGGAGGCCAGTCGCCGTGACATCGAAGCCTAGAATGCGCCTTCCGAAACGCGTCAGCTCGAAGTAGGAAAATATCGCAAATCACTCACTGCTGGTCCTCCAACTGTATGCCCATCGCAATGCACTCATTAACGTGCATCCCTGTGCGCACCGCGTTGTCGTCCTCCGTATTCGCCTCCTCCCTGGCTGCAGCCTCCTGCGCGAGCTCGTATCGCACCTTCGACAAATGTGCGTCCTTGTAC